GTCATAGTACGAGTGGGGATGTTCTTCTCTCGAAGACGAGTGGTATGCTTCCAGCACGACGAGTGGTGTGCCTCCAGCACGACTGGTTTGTCAGGTGCTCGAGCAGCAATTGAGCCAAAAAATGGCTACGCGAGGAGGAGCAGGAGGAGGAAGAAACTGCGCCAGGATGAGTCAGCAACGAATCGGGAAATCGGGTCGAATCGAAATGTGCGTCGGCTCGGGCTGCACCGGCACGTAGTCGAAATCGAATCAGATTGGCTGCACAACAATACACCACAACGCCATGCAAGCATCGACCGTCGGAATGTCGGAATCGAATCGGATCGGGCCAGCTAGAATCGGTATCGAATCGGATCTTGGGGGTCCATAAGCGCTCTGGTGTCAAGTCGGGCATTCCCCTCTACAGGGGGCATATTCATAAATGGTTATGAAAATCCGCCGGCCCCCTTGTGGGGCCACCAGGCTGTAGGCCCGTGATTCGCAGTTTCCTGTACCAGTTGTAGCTTGTAGTTTCCAGTGTTACAGTTCTGCATATTGCTGGTTACTGTAACTAGTTGATTGACCGCGCGAGGGGGGGAGGCCCAAACCAGATTTTTAGCACCCCTTGGGCGCGTTGTCTGATTTGCTGGGGGGGCTCGAAATCGACACCCCTCACGCAGATCCGCGGGGTCAGGGTCCAAAAACACGGGGGGGATTTGCCACAGGGTCCAAAAACACAAGGGATTTGCCACATTTCTGAAATTCGGTGCCACCCCTCACGCAGATCCGCGGGGTCAGGGTCCAAAAACACATGGGATTTGCCACATTTCTGAAATTCGGTGCCACCCCTCACGCAGATCCGCGGGGTCAGGGTCCAAAAACACAGGGATTTGCCACATTTCTGAAATTCGGTGCCACCCCTCACGCAGATCCGCGGGGTCAGGGTCCAAAAACACATGGGATTTGCCACATTTCTGAAATTCGGTGCCACCCCTCACGCAGATCCGCGGGGTCAGGGTCCAAAAACACATGGGATTTGCCACATTTCTGAAATTCGTGCCACCCCTCACGCAGATCCGCGGGGTCAGGGTCCAAAAACACAGGGATTTGCCACATTTCTGAAATTCGGTGCCACCCCTCACGCAGATCCGCGGGGTCAGGGTCCAAAAACACATGGGATTTGCCACATTTCTGAAATTCGGTGCCACCCCTCACGCAGATCCGCGGGGTCAGGGTCCAAAAACACAAGGGATTTGCCACATTTCTGAAATTCTGCGCCACCCCTTACGCAGATCCGCGGGGTCAGGGTCCAAAAACACAGGGGATTTGCCACATTTCTGAAATTCGGTGCCACCCTTCACGCACATCCATCGCAAGGCGTGGTAACCCAAACTGCGAGAACTCCCTCGGCCCTTTAATCGCAAGGTGTGGTAACCAAGCCCGTAAACCATACTCGTCTTACCAATCGCCAGGTGTGGTAACCCCTCTTGTGATCAGTTGGTTTTGCTGATTGCGAATCGGCTTCGCATGAAGTTTCGATACTGCTTCACGACAGCGCCAAGACCTCATGACTTAGCTCTTCCATGGCCCATTCTCCGAGAGAGGGGGCCGGCGGCAGGGGGCGAAGCCCTTACGGATCATCTGGACACGATTTTCTGTGCTCTTTCGATTATGGTTGAAGATGTCGGACTATTTTCGATTCCTTTCAAAATCCGCCTGTAGGTGGACATGCCCGACCTAACTGTGGTGGCACACCGTGTGGTGACCTCGAATTCCCTGGAGACCTCGAAATACTGTCTCTCCTCTGAATGCCAACAACGCAGTGCCAACAGCGCAGCGTCACATATTAGAAGCGTACAATCTCTCCTCTTCATGCCAACAACGCAGTGTCAACAGAGTAGTGCTAATTCACTCGGCGTTACGTAGTGTCAACAGCGTGGCGTCAATCCACGGTTGAAAACCTTCAATTCACTGTGAAGAAATCCCTTGCTCACGGCAAGGTTCGCCGCCGCACCGCTCTGGGACCCTCTGGAGGCCCCCGTCGCCGGAGACGTCCTCGGCGAGCGACCCGACGTGTCCCAGAACCGCGCGGCGGCCCCGACTCCCCACTGACTCACCACACGGCGTGACTTTCCTCACGGAGGCGGAGGAGGAGAAGGAGGAGGAGAATGAGGAGGAGGAGGAGGGGGAGGGGGAGGGGGAGGTGGAGGAGGAGGAGGAGGAGGAGGAAGAGGAGGAGGAGGAGGAGGAGGAGGAAGAGGAGGAGGAGGAGGAGGAGGACCAGTGTAAACCCAAGAGTCATCAGCGATGTTGGAATAACCCCTCCCTTCCAAGCTCTCTCTCTCTCTCTCTCTCTCTCTCCATAGGCCCATGCAACGGTTCATGTCTACTCAAGGAACTGCCTCGTTGGGCCTCGTTGGAAGACAGCCGTTTGAAGATCCTGGAGAATGCTAAAACATTATACCCGGGACTCCCAACGCCACGGATCAACCTGACTGTTGCGTACTGACGACCTGAATCGTGCTCGAACGCCATTCCAAGGACTTCAACACAGCAAATCACCGTAACTGTGGCACCCTCATAATCTTGAATCTTTCCAGAACATCACTTCTGGTACGCAGATCATGGAAATCCGTGGAACTCTTGCATTGAAAACAATGTGCGCGGCGCTAAGGCGAGAACTACATTTTAAGAAAACGCCCTCGGTCCGTGAAAGTCTCGCGAATTGTGAAAATAATGTGCGCGCCGCTAAGGCGAGGGCTTCATTTCGGAAACCATGCACGGCGCTCAGGCGAGAGCCACATTTTGAAAACGACCAGCCCTCAATCCGTATAGCTCTTGCGATTATTCAAAAAATGTGCGCGGCGCTAAAGCGATAAACACATTTTGAAAATCATCAACGATCAATCCGTGAAACTCTTGCAATGCTTGAAAACGAATTTGCGCGGCGCTGAAGCAAGAACCACCTTTTGAAAACCACCCGACCTCAATCCGTGAAGCTGTTGCCACTTGTCAAGCTTCAGGGTCATCAATGGTAAAGAAGTCTCAGGCGAAACGCCCGACCCGCCCTAAAAGCAGGCCTCGGGGTGCGACAGGGAGAAGTTATTTATAAGGACAACGAATGGAGGAGGAGGGGGAGGAGGAGGAGGAGGAGGAGGAGGAGGGGGTGGGGAGAGGGGAGGAGGAGGAAGAGGAGGAGGAGGAGAAGGAGGAGGGAGATGATGGGGAGGACGAGCATGTGGTGGCCCTCGAGGATCAGTAGAATCGAAATGGAACCTGCTGTGGAGCCGCGTATGGGGGGGGGGCTCGTCGTCGTGCTTTTGTTGACGACCTGGGCTGCTGGGCTGGCCCCCGGAACGTCTTTTCTGGGCGGGCCGTGCCTTGATGGCTCCCGGGCTCTGGTGATCGCCCCCAGAAGCCGAGGTGCCTTGAAGCAAGCGCCCGTCGCGGTTTTTCTAGACGCCTGGAGGTCTGACGCGCGCCCGCGAGGTGGGTCCGGCGGCGCGGAACGCGCCAGGGCCGGCGCCGCCAGAGGGGGAGCGGCGCCGACTTAAGGAGCCCGTACGCACCTCCGAAAGCTTATGCTTACCAAGGGCGCCTAACTTCGAGCTCTCGCGCTGCGCGAAACGCGAAAAACTTCGCGCTCTCGCGGGGGAGAAGAGGAGGATGAGTCGCAATCGGAGCCGAACCGCGAAGAGCGAATCATTTTATGTCGGGCGTGTCCGCCCTACAGGCGAATTTTAGAAGAACAGCAAAACATAGCCAAAACAAATTCAACAAATCGTCTAACATAGACGAAACATCGTTCCCGAACTATCTTTTGACTATTTTGCATACTCCTCCTGTAGGGGGACATGACCTAAGAATACCTCCGCTTCCACGAGGGCGCCCTTGCTTACGGCGGGTTGCTCTCCGAGAGGAGAGGGTCAGCGGCTGCAGCAAGAGGCGCAATAACGCGGGGCGGAAGGGCGCCCATCCCTCCTCCTTCTTCTCCTCCTCCTCCTCCTCCTCCTCCTCCTCCTCCTCCTTCTCCTCCTCCTCCTCCCCCTCCTTCTCCTCCTCCTCCCTCCTCCTCCTCCTCCTCTCCTCTCCCACCTCTCTCTCCTCCTCCTCCCTCCCTCCTCCTCCTCCTCCTCCTCCTCCTCCTCCTCCTCCTCCTCCTCCTCCCACCCTGCTCCTCGAGACTCCGCGACCGACGCGAGCGCTGCGCGGGTTGAGAGGGCGCCCGGGCACGCGGCCCCGCTGCGGCCGGCGCTCCACGAGGAGGCCCGCGGCCCGCCCCCGAGCGGTGAGCGGGCAGCTCTCCGGGGGCCCGGCGCGGGGGGGATGCTTTTTAGAAGGAGGCTGCTTCTTAGAAGGCGCTGGCCTAACATCCATAGAGAAGGCCCGCGCCGTCTAAGAAGCAGGGGTGCTTCTTAGAAGCCCTCCCCCCTCCCCCCCGCCCCCTTCGCGCGTGGCCAACATACGGCAAGTTCGTGCCGTGTCGACCCTGGCGTTGGACCGGAAGAAGAAAGACGCCATACGCATAAGCTCTTGGCGCTCCGCGCGGATTTCTTGGGTCCGCGCTGGGCGCTCCCGGCGGCGCCTCCGGCGCCGCCTCTGGCGCGCTCCGCGCGCCAGGGAGGGGGTCAAGCGCGGGTCCAAGAAATCCGCGCGGAGCGCCAAAAGTTTATGTTCATGGTGTTTTTCCTCTTCTACCGACGGCAGGGAGGAGAGACGGCCACCCTCCGAGGCGGCAGTCTCCAAGGAGCCCCAGATATACGCCTTCCAAATGGGGCTCTAGTGCAGTCGAAACTAGGCCAGAATAATATCCTCCAAGAACATGAGACCCTCCGCCCTCCAAAACACAGAACATCCAGGGGTACACTCCCCAGGATGCACAAGAACATCCAACAAACACGAGTAACATTAGGGCACACTCCCCGAACCGACCTCGATCTTACACCTCCGTCCGACCGTAGGGCAGGTTCGTGTCGTGTCGACCCTGGCGTTGGTTTCTGACACCGCGTGGATCGCTAAACCTTGAACCATCGGTGGCTTTTCGATCGCCCGATCGTCCCATGCAGGCCGATTCGGGGCCGCTGGCGGCTTTCAGCCTCGAGCGTCCGCGGCGGGGTCGCTGCCAGTTGACACGACGCGAACCTACTGTAAGGATCCATGGAATGAGGAACCGACGCTCTGGAAACTGGTGCAACTCCCGTCGTGGATTGGCCGGACAATCTCACCGCCGCCCTCAGCAGAGAAGGAACTGCCCAGGATCTGAAGCCTTCTGGGCACATTCCTCAACGAACGCCCCACCCGTAAGGCCGTTCTCGGGCTCTGCTGAGGCGCCGTCCGCGCTGACTGCTACGTTCTGCCTCTGGGGGGCCTCCGAGGAAAACCCTCTTCCTCCCAGAGCTGTCCCCCACAGGTTTCAACCACGGCTGGGGGATCACCCAGTCCACAAGTTGGTGCAGTTCGTCCCAACGTTTGGTCAGACAGGCATTTCCAAAAGGCAGGAGGCGGCGGTGGTTCGCGGTAAGCACCTTCAGAGGTGGTCCCCAGACCACGTGAGCCGACGTGCCGACATTGGCACGTTCCTGCTTCTTTTGCACCAGAAGTGAGCAAACATACGTTGGCACTGCTTAAGCATCTGGGATGCGCAATCTACCCATCTGGGGGAGGGCTGGCGTGGCATGGAGAGGAGGGCGGTCAGAGGGGGAGGGGAGGCGGGAAGGGCGACAGTGCGAGGGGTGCCTGGAACGACAACACATCAACCACGGAGAAGAGGGGAGGGGGAGGGGAAGGAGAGGAAACAACCGTTCAAACATCAAGAAGACAACAGCTGCAACGCCAGATTTGCTCAAGCTGGGCCAACACAATCTCGCCAATCTTACCCCACATCTCCGTCCGCTGATGAGGCTTGTGGGTCCCTTCGGCCACTGCTGGAGCTGAAAGAGGGCCAGTGGCCAAAACATAGCATCGCGTTGACTCCACCCCTCTATCTCGCCATGCAGGCACATACGCAACCCCCTCCTACCCTTCACCGTCCATCTTCTCGAGGTCGAGGAGCTCGGTGCTGTCTAGACTTGCCACGCCTGACGATGAGCGATTCACATAACACTGGCCAAACACATGCAAAACGCAAGATGGACAAACCGCTCGTTCACACGATCAGCAACAGTAAAGCTTCCAGACGATGAAGACCCAACGCTGGAAACACTCATGCCTTCCACTTGTGGGTGACCGGCTCCTGTTCATCGGAGCCATGTGGTAGGGGATCGGGATTCGCAGATCAATCAACGCGCAAGGAAATAGCAAGCATGGCGTGTGTATGTGTGAAGGCGTATACATCTATAAACATACATGTAGACAGACAGACAGACACACAAACACACACACACACACTCGGCGAGAGAGAACCATAGAGATGATACACATACATGTAGATACACACCGATGCATACATCGCATACATAGTCATGCATGCATGCATACATGCACACATACATGCATGCATATATTTCTGCTGCGTTACGCATGAGAAGTTATGAAGCTCTGGCAACTGTTTAGAACGAGTGTGCGCGGCGCGCAAGAGAGAACTAGATTTTGTAAACGGCCCACCCTAAATCCGTAAAACCCTTGCAACTGTTTAGAACGAATGTGTGCAGCACTCAAGCGAGAACCGCATGTTGGAAACGGCCCGCCCTCAATCCGTGAAGCTGTTGCATGTTGTTTATTCGAGTGTGCGCGGCGCAGGGACAGAACCACATGTTGAAAACCAGCCACCCTCAATCCGTGAAGCTCTTGCAACTTTTATCACGAATGAGCGCGGCGCTAGGGCGAGAGCTACAATTTGAAAACGACCCGCCCTCAACCCGTGAAACTCTTGCAATTTCTTGGAAACGGCCCGCCCTCAATCAATGAATCTCTTTTCCAGATCTGCAACACAAGTCTGCGCGGCGCTAAGGCGAGAACCACATGTTGAAAACGACCCGCCATCAATCCGTGAAACTCCCGCATTTATTTTAGAACCAATGTGCGCGGCGAGATGGCGAGAGCCACATGTTGAAAACGACCCGCCCTCCATCTGTAAAGCTGTTGCCAATTTTCAAGCATCAGAATCATACATGGTGAGGACGTCTCAAGCGAAACGCCGGGCCCGCCCTTTTGACCGGTCTCGGTGCGCGACAGGGAGGGGTTATCTGTAAGGAAAAGGAAGGGAGGAGGCGGAGGCGGAGGAGGAGGAGGAGGAGGAGGAGGAGGAGGAGGCTGGAGCGTCTGGGGCGGAGGAGGAGGACGAGGACGAGGAGGACGAGGAGGGGGATGGGGAGGAGGAGGAGTAGTAGGAGTAGGAGAAGGAGGAGGAGGAGGAGTAGGAGGAGGTGGTGGAGGAGTAGGAGGAAAGTGGCGGGTGGAAGGGGCAGGTGGAAGGGGCGGGGGGCAGAGTGCAGGGGCAGAGCGCGGGAGGGGAGGAGGACCACTGCCACAAGGGTCGTTGGCTGAGTGGCGGCGACGGGCAGGCTGCAGAGAAAGCGGGGGCCGTCGAAGCCGCCCACGACCAGCGCAAGCCTCGCGGCCACTCACCACTGCCCCCGCTTCTGTCCACATTGACCTCTGCACCCCTCAGCCTCTCCAACTCGCTCCACCTGTCGGGTGTTGCCAGAGATGGTCCTGTCCCAAAGGTCCGCCCAACCTTTTCGGAACGTATGGGTCGATCTCGCTAAGTGTTGGAAGGTTGTTTGGAAGACTTCTGGACGGTTGTTTGAAAGGTTGTTGGGAGGATGTTGGAAGGTTTGTTGGAAGGTTTGTTGGAAGGTTGTTGTAAGTTTTTTGGGAGGTTGTTGAAAGGTTTCTTGGAAGGTTGTCGCGCCATGTTGGAGCTCCTGGGGAACTCTGGGCCTCCTCGTGGGTGCCCTAGAGGCCACCCAAGCCTGGGACCACCTTGGGCCAGGGCCGCCTCTCGCTCCACCTACTTGCCTCTCTGCCTCAACTCCTCCTCCTCATCCTCCGCCTCCTCCTCCTCCTGCTCCTCCTCCTCCTCTGCCTCCTCCTCATCCGCCTCCTCTTCCTCCTCCTCCTCCTCCTCCTCCTCCTCCTCCTCCTCCTCCCTCTGCACAGACCGTTCGGAAGAATAGGGTCGTCGCGTGGGGAAGGACTGCGCGCGAGGCAGGTCTGGCTTCCCCCCCCCGAAGGAGGAAGGCAACACGAGGGCCCTGCGATAGTTGGATGTGGGGCGGCGCCCAACGTAGACTGGGATCTGGGGGCCCATCTCGGCGAGCGGCTCGTGCCCTGGACCTCCGCCTCCACCTTTGCACCACTCGACCCCCAATTCCTGCACCTATGCGCTCCTCCACCCGTGTCACCCCGCGTCCATCCGCGCGTCTGCATCCTGGCCATATCTCGTCCACCTCTGTCATCCACCTCTGCCTCTTCTGCCATCCGTGCTTGTCCTCCCCGCCTGAGTGGAGAAGGAAGCTGAGCAGAGCCAGAGGATGCCTTCACCCTGATCATTGTCACCAGTCTCCTCCTCCTCCTCCTCCTCCTCCTCCTCCAGTTGCCGCTGCTGCTCCTTCACCTCCCCCCCCCTCCTCCTCCTCCTCCTGCTCCCGCTCCTCTTGCTTCTGCTCCTGCGCCTACTCCATCGTGCCCCCCATCTCTATGTTTACATTTCGTCCTTCTGTAGCTTTTCGGTTCAACCCACACTTGGGAGGAACCTGGCCGACGCGGTCCGAGCACACACACACAAACACAAACACAAGCACAAGCACAAGCACAACCACAACACACAAGCACAAGTACAATCACAAACACACACACACACACACTGACTGCAGCAGCACGTCGGCCGATGGAGGCAGCAACTGCCGCAGCCAAGAACGTGCAGGAGAAGCCGACGTCGGTCGTGCACGTGTGTGTGTGTGTGTGTGTGAGCCATGAGACCTCGGCTGGAACCTGAACTGCACCGTGGACGCGGCTGACGCTGCGAAAACTTTGGTCAGGCCAACCCAGTCGCTCCCGCCATCGGCACCACATCGCCTGGCAGTGAACGTTTTCTTATTCGGCGTTTCGACATTGGGCGGAAGGGGGGAGGAGGGGGGGGGGTCTGTCTCCGCACCTCGGCTTAACACGACTGTTTGCAGCAGTGCGTCCTGTGGGGGAGACTCCGCCTGCTCAAAACAGGCGCCAAAAAACGGCCAAGATCTACTCCATGGGGGGGAGGGGGGAGGCGCGAGGGCTCACGCCGATCGGCAAATCAATGAATAAGAACACGGTCACGCACCATGTCACTGCACCGACCTTGCAGACGTGATGCAGCGGATTTTCGCCTGGATTTCTGCCAATGCAAAACTCCGAAACGGCGAGCGAACATTGAAGTGAATTTCGCGTGGATGTTTGTTATGTCTTCTTTCCTGGTCCCAAACAATCCGCACGAAATTCACTTCGAAATCCGGAGCGAAATTCTCCAGGACACTGCGGGCCCATCCTACCGTTTGCCATGAGAAAGACGCTGCCGCGACAGCGGAGGAGAGGGCTGCACGCCGCACCTCTGGGGGGGGGGCGCGCCGCGCGGGGCGGGCCGCAAGGATCTGGGCGGCGGCACGCGGGGCGGCGGGGACACGAACCCTGGGAAAATCGGCGAGTTTGGACGCCCGAAATGGGCACGGAAACAATGGGCACAATGCCCAACAGCAAATGTTGTCCAGAACCAACAGCGGCCGCTGTTGGGCAGGCGGCCTTCTGTCTCAAATGGACACAGGCCGCGGCGGCGCGGACAGCGAGTCCTGTTCAAAATGAACAGGAACTGCAGTTGGGCATCGTAACCGTTCTTTCCGTGCCCATCTCGTTCGTGCAGAGCGAGGAGGCAAAGGTACACATGGCGCTACCCTTCGCCCGGTATCCCCTTTTTGGGGCCTCCTTGGAGGCCCTCCTCGCCACTGCTGGATTCGCCTCGAAATCCTGGTCAGAACGCGCCGCGGGAGAGGTCCGAGGAGTAGCAGTATCGGTACCTCTTCATTTCCCCATTCCCTCCTTCCTTATCCTTGTCTCGGCGGCGAGCCTGGGGGGAAGCGAGAAGGGGCGGGCCTTCTCAGAAAGCTCGGAAGTCCCCAGGCCTTCCGAGAAGTTTTCTGCGCGTCTTGCCCGCAGGCAGAAACAAAGAGCCCCTCGGAAGGCGCGAGGGCGTCTGATAGGCCCTGTCGCCTTCCGAGAGGGCCTTCCCCTCCCCACTCCTCTCCCTCGCTCGCCGCCGAGAACAGGCGTGCTGGGTAACCTAGGCCTGCGCATCGCGCCGCGAGAAAAGAGCGCTTGGCTTCTCGCGCCCAGGTGCCTCCCTGGAGAGGGGCAGGTCTTCGCGCCCCTGTGGGCGACCTGGGCGGCGGCACGCTGGACGTCGGGGGCAATACACCCGTGGTACGCGGAGGTGACCGAAAGCAGACGCAACGGGGTCTGGGGCCGACTGCGCGGAAGCCTTCTGGGGGGATGTGGGGCCCATGGGACTCGGGGATCTGCCGACCCGGGTCCATCGAGACCCGGGTCGGCCAGGCCTGGCAAGCTCCTGCAGGATCCTGCGCCCAAGCCCGGGTCAATGCGACCCTGGCTCTGCAGGATCCTGCAAGATCTGGCGCTCTGACCGACCCCCGTCTGCACTGCTCCCTGTCTCTTCCGCCCCGGAGGACTCCAGCAAGCAAGGCGCCGGCGCCGGCGCCACTTCGTGGAAAGCCCGGCTGGCCAGCGAGCGCGGGTTCGGCCACGGTCTGGCCCCTGCTTCCGAGAACTACAGTCAACCCGTATACTAAGGATGCGCGGTAAGGGTGTAAGGGTCTTGGAAGGCCATGCCGACACTCTGCGAGCGGGGCGCGGCCAGCGAAAGCGGCCAAAGATGGGCCGAAGGGAAAGGATGCAGGGGCAACCCTGGAAAATTGGTCATCCTTGCTATGCGGGTCCACAGTACGGCAGGGTCGTGTCGTGCCGAATTCGGCGTTGGTTTCTGACACCTCGGGGATCGTTCAACCTCGAACGATCGGCCGTTTCCGAAACGTCAGATCGTTGAACATCGACCGATTCTGGGTCGTCGGCGGCGCTCAACGCTGAATGCCCGCGCGGGATCGCCGCCGGGCGACACGACGCGAACCTACAGCACACGGCTGCATGTAGCGCAGGGTATGGCCCTCCTCTCAGACTGCGCGCAGCGGGAAAAGGGGGGAGCCGGAGTCGGAACTCCCTGTGGGGCGCGATCCGTGTGAGGAAGAATGCCCAAATCAACCGGGAGGGTGGGGATGATAAAACCGTGTGTGTCATCTCCTGTTCTACTTGTTTTTCTTTCTCTACTCGTTACTTCGGTTGTTCGGCTTCTTTCTGGTTATGCCTTTCTTCCTTGCGATAAGCCGTGTGTGTGCCAGCTGTGCTTTTTCATCATCGAATATGAAAGTAAAGTGGAGTCTTACATGAGGATTCCTTTTGCTGCAGACTGAAATGCGATTCCCACTGTGCCAGATTATAACTGAATCCGTTTGGCGGGGGATCACTGATGCATTCACTTAGTCGCATAATACAGAAGCGTCTCCTCTGTCGGAGATTACACTTTTTGTGGCGGGTTACAATAGGATTCATATTGTGGAAAATTATAGTAGGATCTCCTCTGGCGGCATTACATTTATTTTAGTTTTACGATGGCCCGTACTTCGATCACCTTTTGTGGCGGCCTACACATACTCCTCGTTTTGTGGCGGCCTCGCACATGTATTGTGATGGCCCATATGCAGCAACCTGTTCATAAATGCGTTGCATTTTGGTTCATTTTTAGGCGCAGTGCAATTTGATTTCTTGTGTGGCTGGTTGCAACCTCTTCTTTTGTGTGGCGGCCTGTGCATCGATTTCCTTTGCGGCGGCCTCACATATAGATCCTTTGTGGTGGCCCACGCACATTCGTTTTCATGTCGGCGCTACATACGAACTCCTTTTGTGGCGGGTTGCAAAATTATTATATTTTTGCGGCAGCCTTGTCACATACTCTCTGGGTGGCGGCTTTGTGAAATGGCTCATTATGTTTGCAGTTTGCCTCCTTATGTGGCAGCTTTACTCATTAGTGTCTTAGTTGGTCCCCCACGGACTAATATCAATTGTGGCGGCCTCACGTATGTATTCCTCTTGTGGCAAATTACAATTTGATCTCGTTTGTGGCGTCCTCACACATCGATTCCTTCTGCGGCGCCATTGCGATTTGATTCAATGCGTCGCGCATAACATCTTGATACCTATTGCGGCAGCCTGTACATCGATTTCCTCGTGCGGCGGCGTCACACGCCTTTTTTCTTACTGCGGCCCTTTCGTCCATCTCCTATTTTTTCTTCAATTGAATCCGTCACTTGCACTTCCATTCTCCCCTCTCCTCTCACATGACTCTGCTTTCCAAAGCTCTGGAGCCGCTCACAATGTCTCCCTGCTCCTGCTTCCTTCTTCGCTCTTCGCCTTCCTGCAGCCCCTTTAATTCACACATGGTTTCCTTTTTCTGGCGGGTCACACATGGATTCCCTTTGCGGCGGCTTTGCAAGGGGATTCAAGCAGCGGCG